GCTTTCAGCAATAGACCTAAAACAAGCAGTGGTACATGATGAGTAATTACACTCTGATATCTTCACTGGGTAGTTTTCCTTTCCTCCTAAACATCAGGGCAAAAGTGTGGCTAACACAATAACTTTCATAAATTCAAACTTCAGTTAACAGAACTGGAATTTCATATCTATTGAAACATAATCCTTTTCTCTAAAATTACCCCCATTTTCATAACCCAAGAGTCTCCAATTTCTGGAGGGACTAGGCAGAGATAAAAGAATATTTCAATTTTTCCTACAGAGGTGTAATTTACCCAATTGTTGTAAGTCATAAGTAGCTTGAGGGGAAGGGCTTCCCTATGTCTGGGAAAACCATAAACATTATTTACCAGCCCACTTGGTAACTAATCCTTTTGCTAACTTTTTATGAAGCCATCAGATTCTCCATTAAGATTTTTAAATTTCTTAACCAGCTCAGCTGTATGATATGAAATTTATCAGAGACCTGTATTTGTCAAAAGGGGTCCTTCACATAAGTCTTCTTGAAGATGAAGTACCTTTGCAAAAGCATCAGAGTACAGCAACAGAAAGACTTAAAAGGGCTCAGTTAAGCATCTGACTGCAATGTAATTGGTAAAGAAACTTGGTTACAATAACCAGGATTACATTTAACTTGACTGATTGCATTTAATTTAACATACCAAATAATCCTAGTTAAATATTTCTCTCTGAGATGCCTCAGGGGCCCTCTGAAGAATCTCAAAGTTATCTGGAGATCAAAAGAACCTTTAGAAACTGCCAAACAATTCTTACTCATTTTATACAAAGTGAAAAGATTTCAAGGGCAAATAGGAATCTGGTCTTGCCCTAGCCCACTCCCAACAAAATCCATTTACCCAACTAGATTTAATCCAATCTTTGAAAATCCTGATCATGCACAACTTTAAAAACATGTGCTTTCTTATGGAGAATTATTCCTAAAGAGTTTACCCAAAAGCTCTTATCTCACTTGCATTACTTAACATTGATGACTCTAAAGACATGTCTATGTTAATCAAACCAATAAGCTTAAGCCACCCTCAATAGCAGATATTAATTCAGTACTGAATATTTCCCAGATCATGTGGTCCTAAAATTTATCTTGGCCATTTTTCTAGACATTTAGATATAATTTGTAAGTGCTTACTTTTAAGCCAATTAGATAGAGCTCATTTACAAGTTAACTTTTACATAAAGACTGAACCAGAGATCTGAGTTTTTTTGCTTGAGTTTAAAAAGGCCTTCTTTCCCTGCCTTTTTCTTCAGTTTCAGGAACTAAGATGGTCTAGATAAAATAAGTGTTCTGGCGGGCCCAGGCACAGGGGGTGAGAAATAACAATTCCTTTTCATGGGGGAATAGCTGAAGATCTCCCAATTTTGTAAAAATACCCTGGGTGGGGTATTATAAGATGGAGCAGAGCTCTGATCACCCATAACAAGGCTAGTCCAGAAGGGAAAATCCCAACCAACATTCTGCCACAGGCAAAACCAGACACAATAGGACAGATTCCCTGGTGTTGTCACACGTGAGCCCTGTTAGTGAGCCCTGTTATTCAAAGACGTCTCAATCGGTCAATGTAAGAACTGACATGCATACATACAACAAACATGGTCCCACAAACAAAACGTGTACAACTCTTTTCTCAGTCTTCCTTATTTTCCTTTCCCTTCAGAAACAACCAGCTCTAGGCAAAATGACTTTCCTTTCTCTTTGTACCATCAGCTTGTTACCTAGCTGCTCACTTTTATTATGTAACTGCGTGAATGCTTGAACATATGGAATTTCTCCTGTCTTTCTATTCCTGTGACAAAACAGCTCTAGCTGGAGAATAGTATAATAATTTAGGCTACCATTCAAAGACCATCTTTCCTCATTTGGGCTTCCCTGATGGCGCAGTGGTTGAGAGTCCGCCTACTGATGCAGGGGACGGGTTCGTGCCAGCTCTAGCTGGAGAATAGTATAATAATTTAGGCTACCATTCAAAGACCATCTTTCCTCATTTGGGCTTCCCTGATGGCGCAGTGGTTGAGAGTCCGCCTACTGATGCAGGGGACGCGGGTTCGTGCCCCGGTCCGGGAAGATCCCACATGCTGCGGAGAGGCTGGGCCCGTGAGCCATGGCCGCTGAGCCTGCGCGTCCGGAGCCTGTGCTCCGCAACGGGAGAGGCCACAACAGTGAGAGGCCCACGTACTGCAAACAACAACAACAACAAAAACAAAGACCATCTTTCCTCATTTTCAAGAATGTACGTTGGCCGAACAGAATTACCGTAGAATTTCAGTTTTTTTCCTAGTTATAGGTTTAGAACTATAGGTCGATGAGTCTGCCAAGATTTTTCCCAGGGGGCTATCAGATGGAGAAAGAGGAGGAGAAGGAGGGGAAGGAGATGAAGAAGAAGGAGCACTTCCTATATTTGATTGATAGAACACTCACGAGCGGACTGAAAACAAAACAGAACCCTCGCCAGCAGATGGAAGCCTTATGCCAGAAAAAACAGACAGCACAAAGCTCAAAGTGGTTGCTTCCAAGTCCTACTTATCCCATGACCTTAGTCTAAGCTGTGCCTTACAGATGGGATTTCTGAAACAGAAAATCCCCAGATGGGAACCAAAGGTTCCCCAGATGGAACCAAAAGTTCTTCCGAGGGACAAAATTGAAGGAGCCTTGGAGTGCACTCCCAGGGACTTACCCAGATTCTGGCAGAGGTGTTGTGACATCAGACGCTATCTTTTCTGCTTCCCCCAAACAATTCCTAGGAGTGGGACGTCCAGGGTGGTCCAGGCAGGAGGAAGAGAGGAAGAGAGGAATGTCCTCAAGGCAAAAAGGGCCTCGGCAGTTGCTAGGGCTGTCTCTCTTCCTCTGTCTATTTCCACCTCAGAGTTCCGGCTGCCAGGATGGCAGACAGGGTATGACTGGGGGCTTGGCCTCCAGGCAAGGGTCCCAGGTGATCTGGCTTCTAGGGACACCCCCCC